CGCCGCCGCCGCCGCCGCCGCCATTCCCACCCCGGCGGGGACCCGTTCTGTGAACAGAAGCCTCTGGCCAGAGTGGATTAAGAGCTCATTTTCCCAATTCCCGAACGGTCAGCGATTTAATCACTTCATGGAGTTTCGTTTAGACTTGGGCGATGGTTAAAATATGGGCTCTTGAGGCCATTCGGGCTCACAACCCGGCCTGCCCTGTTGTCTTCCCTGTGAAATGGGGATAATAGTACTTTATAGAGCCCGTAGAGAATTAAGTGACATACAGACGTCAAACGCACAGGTGCCGGTCGCAGTCCGAATTTTGTTATTGTGAACTAGCTGGGACCAGAAGGTGGCACTAGTGACCAAAATATTGGTCAGAGGATTCCTGATGCATCCTCAAGTGGGTACAGGTCCTGAGGAATCCGGGCTTAAACCTTCTTCAAACTGGAAAGTGCGTTACAGATTAAGTAATACTACCTCCTGCTTTTGTAGGTCACAGTCGGTCCCAAGCTTCCTCCAAATTCAGTGTAATTGAGTTTTTTTGGAGAGGTTTTTGCTAGAGGGCACAAGCGCTCACTCGCTAGAAAGACAGAGACAGAAAGAGAGAAATCATTCCCGGGGGAGGGGTGGGGGGGTGCCCACGCTGCAGTACCTTCTCCATTCTCCTCTCGGGATCTTGGGCACTCATGCACACTTGCACAGGCACCTGGCATGTTTTAAGCCACCGGCCAGGGACTCCAATCGCGGTGGATCACATGGGAGTCCAGCGACATAGCCATTGCATCAATCGCTTGTCCCATGTGTAATTTTTAAAAATGTTTCTTTTGTGAGATAATACAAGACAGGCTCGTATCCTTGACAGGGTCTCACCTAGCTGCAGTCCCCCACCCAACCTTCCCGCCAGCCAGCGTCTCAGGCGTGCCCACTGTCTGTGTTCGGATCAATCTGGGTCCAAACCTGAGGCCTCCCATATGGCTCCAGTATCACACAGCAGCACCTTATTACCTGTACCAGCAGATGAGGCCAGGGCAATTTTTTTTTCTTTTAATTTGCTAGAGGGCATGTGTGCTTATTGGATAGAGAGAAGGAGAGGGAAGGTGAGAAATTAACTCCCAGGGAGATGCTCACGCCATAGCTTTTTCTCCATTTCTCCCAGCCTTTGGGATTTTGGAGCATGCGCACATGTACACCCAGTGTGTTTTTCAAGCAGTTGGGTCCAGGACTCAAATCACACTCAGCCATATGGGATCCAGCCACTTTGACCATCATACCATAGGGTAGCCCAATTTTTTTTTTTTTTAAACCTTTCTGCTCTCTTGCTAGCCTGTTAGGAAGGGATCCTGAATTATGCATTAGAGTTACAGGGGCCAGCAGGTGGTGTGGTGGTTAAGGGTACTGGACTCCCACATGGCCGGCCGCGGTTCAAGTCCCGAACCTGACGGCTTGCTTTCTCATTTTTCTCTGTCGTGTGTTCTCTCTGGTCAAAATTTAAAAGTAAATAAATAAATAAAGTTAAATAAAATAATTCTTTTTTTTTTTTTGGAGAGGTTTTTGCTATAGGGTGCGTGTGCTCGCCAGACAGACAGAGAGAGACATAGAGACAGAAAGCGACAAATCACCCCCCAGGGGGGATGGTCACGCCGCAATCCCTTCTCCTCCATTCTCCTCTCGGGATCTTGGACACGCACGCACACGCGCCTGGCGTGAGATTTAAGTCACCGGGTCCGGGATGCGAACCACGGTCAACTACGTGGGAGTCCAGCGACATAGCCATTACGCTAACTGCTGGTTCCCAATAAAATAATTCTTTTAAAAAAAGAATTAGATTGGAAACAACAGAGTTAAAATGGATGTCTGCATTCATTCAACAGATACTTACTGAACATTTACTATATGCTACGTTATAACATGGTTAATGAAGCAGGCATAAAGTTCTCATGTAGCTGGCATATTAGTAGAAGAGACCAAAAAATGTAAATAAATATATAATTATAAAGTACTAGGAAGATAAAGATTGAGTCTGGTTTTGATCGGGTGGTTCACCTATCGGAGGTGGTAAGGAGCTGAACCCAGAAAGCTGTTATTAAAAGCCAGTCATGCAGAGAATAAATGGAAGACCATTCAAACTATAGGGAAAAGCATTTACAAAAGCTTTAAGGTTAAAACAAGAAAATCAGGTGGGCCAATAGATAGTATGGAGGTTAAGACGGCTAGTTCCCCCATAGCCCAGTGCGTGGTTCAAGTCCTGGACCCAGTGACTTCAAAGACACCCCAAATCCTGAGAGAATGGAGAAGAGTTAGTGACATGGCCATGCCCCATGAGAGGTGCTTTCTCACTTCTCTCTCTCTGGTGAGCGCGTGCACCCTATAGCACGAAAAACAAGATCAAGACATGAAAAAAGGATAACGTGACTGGAATATCGTGAATAAAGGAAAAGCAGCCAGAGATGAAGTTGAAGTGTTGCGTTGTGTCATGCACCAGTAATGTGTCATGTCTTTTCCGAACACCTAATTGTAGGCTGGAGCCTTGGAGCAGGGCTCAAGAGTTTGAATTTTATTCTGAATGTAAAATAAATCATTGAAAGATTTTAAGCATGGAATGCCTAAATTCTACTTATTTTAGAAGTTAACTTCTGTTGGTATGTAGAGAATAAATTGGGTGATGACATGAGTAGCAAGGAGACAACCAGTTGGGAGGCTATTGCAGTAATGCAGGTGAGAGAGGACAGTGTCTTCAAATAGGCACTGCAGATGGAAAAAAGAAAGCAAATTAAGATAGATTTTGGAGATGGAAATTTAAAGATTAAGACTAGAAAACAGCAAAAAGAAAAGAGGATTTAAGGGTGATTTTCAGGTATCTGGGAGGATAGTGGTACCATTTACCAGGATGAAGAAAACTGGAAGAACAAGACAACTATGGGAAGAGAGAGTGGAATAGAGAATCCCATTTCAGAAAAACTAACTTAGGTATCTTTGCTATATCCCAGTGGAATTATCTGGTTAGCGAATGTCTGTAGGAACTTGGAGCACAGAGGAGAGATTTGTGTAGGTGCTAGAAGTTTGGGAGTCATCAGCATATGATGATATGGAAAGCCAAAGAAATGGACAAAGTCACTGAGATTATCTGGTTTGATTATTTCACCACTGGGCCTGTGGCAACCAGTTTTATTAAATATTGTTTGGCGTTTAAAGCATTAGAGTCCAATAATTGAGGAAATGACTTGTCCTTAGATCTGCAGATGGTCATGTTTTTGTGACACTAGGTTGCCCTGAAATGCTCAATCTCGTGGTGGACAGAGAAAAACAAGATCTCATGCCCACAGGTGCTCCCCAAGTTTGGCCCTTAAGCTTGCTGGTTTTTATTTTCAGTGGGTCAAAGGCCATGTTAGTTTTCTGTCATTTACAGGACAGACCATGAAGTTGAAGGAACTGGAGCGACCAGCTGTCCAAGTCTGGAGCCCAGCCAGCCAGTACCCAGTGTATTTGGCCACAGGTATGGTGTTATCCGAAGTGTGATACACAGAGTATGTAGGCTGAGAGGAAACTCGGTATCTGACTGGGCATCAGAGAAAGCTTTAAGATCACAAAAGGTGGGGAGGGCTCCCAGCATCTGCAAGGGACGTTAGGTGTTTTTAGTGTCTAGGGGAGGCTGGACTATGACTCTAAGTGACTCCAAGTGACTCTAAGTGAGGTACCTTATGCTCACTTGTTTTCTTCAGCGTTAGCCTCTGAGAAAGGTTATACCCAGCCCTTCCCTGGTCCTCCTCCTCTCCACTCCCTAGCCTGTTTATACTGTAAGTCCATGCCCATGCTGTTGCTCACACGCTGCCTCTCCTTGACTTTTCTTATGCCCAGGAACATCTGCACAGCAGCTAGATGCCTCCTTTAGCACAAGTGGCACACTGGAAATCTTTGAGGTTGATTTCAGGGACCCTTCTCTGGACTTGAAACGCAAGGGAGTCCTTTCTGCCTCGAGCAGGTACTGTGTCTGAACCGTTGGGTACACAGGGCAGATCATGATGAAGATACTGAGGAGCAATCCTGGGAGTAGCGTGAGCTTCCCGGGGCTCACAAGGAGTCAAGTGAGGGGAGAAGGCGCTTTGCCAAGTTGGAGAGAAGTTAACCCTGGATGTATTTAAAAAATCATTTTAGATTTTAAAAACAACCACCCCCACCTTTCTGGTCAGCAGCAGCAGTGTCAGGCAGAGTGCATGTGAGAGAGACGGCTCGCGCAAGCCTGCACCCACGTGTACCTGCTGTGTCTTTGAACCTTACACAATATCATTCTTTCTCTGCCAACGAGGAGAACAAATCTCCTTTCCTCATTGCCCTGACTGGATTCTTAGAATTTCATGGCTCTGGCAATCTAGGTACTTATGGATTTCATGATATTGTGTAATAGTAATGAGGAAGAAATCATTTGTTCTCCTCACTGGCAGAAAAGGCTACAAGGAGGCCTTGTAGGCCATGATAGGTGAGGTACTGTCATTCAATGAGCATGTATGTGTATACATGCCAGACACTGTTCTAGAGGCTCTGTGGTTTGTGTTGTTTTGTTTGTTTGTTTGTTTTTGAGAGATTTTTTGCTATAGGGCGTGTGTGCTTGCTGGAGAGACAAAGAGGCAGAGAAACAGAAAGCGAGAAATCACCCACAGCGGGTATGGCCATGGTGCAGTCCCTTCCCCCCCATTCTCCTCTCCAGACCTTGGGCACACATGGTACATGTGCCCAGCATGAGTGTTAAGCCACTGGGTCCAGAACTTGAACCAGGGTCGACTACATGGGAGTCCAGCAAAGTAACCGTTACACCATCTGCTGGTCCCAAGGCTCTGTGTTTTATTCTTCATGAAACTAAACCTGAGTGATAAGTGCCATTATTTCCATTTTATGTAGGAGGGAACTGAAACTCTGGGATGTTAGGATTGAAGTCTAGGCCTAGCTAAGTCCAAAGCCTACCTTTTTCCTATTATTCCACTGTGCTTTTAAAGATTTTGTGATGATGAAGCTTAGAGTCTAAAGCAGTGGTTTCCAAGTCATCATGTCATCTGAAAAAAATGAATATTTAATACACATAGTATACATATATCACTATATTATTGATATAAAATGAAACTTCTTTCATTTTATTAGATTAAAAATATAAATCCTTTTCTTACAGTTGGGTGAATTATCGTGTCCACTGTTTTAGAGAATACTGGTTTAGAAAGCAACTTTTCATCTAATAATTTTTTTTTTTAATTTTTAAAAGAAAAAAATTTTTCTTCTAGGTAGTGTGCAGGCATACACATGTGAGAGTGAGAAAGATGAGTATTCTCCCACAAGCTGGCCACACTGTGACCCCTTCCTCCAGTCTGCCAGTTGGTTACCTCCTGAATGCACCGCACATGCCTGGTGTGTTTCAGGTGGCCCTGACTAGGGGCCATATGGTATCTGGCGTCTGAGCTGCCTTCTGCTGTGCCATGGAGCCAGCCCTCATGTGATGATGAAGCTTAGAGTCTAAAGCAGTGGTTTCCAAGTCATCATGTCATCTGAAAAAAATGAATATTTAATACACATAGTATACATATATCACTATATTATTGATATAAAATGAAACTTCTTTCATTTTATTAGATTAAAAATATAAATCCTTTTCTTACAGTTGGGTGAATTATCGTGTCCACTGTTTTAGAGAATACTGGTTTAGAAAGCAACTTTTCATCTAATAATTTTTTTTTTTTAATTTTTAAAAGAAAAAAATTTTTCTTCTAGGTAGTGTGCAGGCATACACATGTGAGAGTGAGAAAGATGAGTATTCTCCCACAAGCTGGCCACACTGTGACCCCTTCCTCCAGTCTGCCAGTTGGTTACCTCCTGAATGCACCGCACATGCCTGGTGTGTTTCAGGTGGCCCTGACTAGGGGCCATATGGTATCTGGCGTCTGAGCTGCCTTCTGCTGTGCCATGGAGCCAGCCCTCATGTGATGCTAGATGAACCCCTTTGCATCTCTCGGCCCCGCTGAGAGACTAGTTAGAATATGTAGACAGAAGTACACTCCTCTTTTTTCCATCGTTTAACCTAGTAATAAAAGGTTAGTAATTGCCTGCCCTTCCTTGAGCTCTATATTGCTTTACGATAGCATCCTGTATTTTGCAGGTTTTTACATCTCTTTGCGTTTCCAGTACTTGTGCCCTTTGAGGAGCAGACACGTGAAGATTTACCAAAAATGAGGAGACATTCTTAGGCAAGCATTTCAGAAAGGGTTCCTGAAATGAGGGAACTATGTCAAGATCATTTATGCTTCTGGAGATAAGAGGAAGGGGCAGTGGGCAAAGGCTCTTATTCTCAATGAGCCAGGCAACAGCTTCAGCACAGTATTGGCTCATTAAGGCTAAGGGTTCCTAAGAAAGAGGTAATACAGTTTCTCAAGAAACCTTGAAATTGAATTCTTAGATCCATGTGGGCAGGAATTTTTATGTTTGATTCACTGCTCTATCTGTAGCCCATAGAACGGTGTCAGCCATTATTTAATCAGTAGTTATTCAAAAGGCTGACAGGTGGCATGGTGGTTAAGGGTGCTGGACTCCCATATGGCCAACAGCAGTTTGAGTACTGGACCTGGCAGCTTGCTTTCTCACTTTCCATCTCTCTCTCTTGTACTATCTCCCTCTGGTCAAATTTTAAAAATTTAAAAAGTAAATAAATAAAGTTAAATAAAATAATTCTTTAAAAAAATAGTCATTCAATGAGTGAGTGATATTAGAAACTTCTAGGTTACCAAACAAAAAAAATTTTTTGAGAGTTTTTTGCTATAGGGCACGTGCGCTCGTCAGAAAGACAGAGAGAGACAGACAGAAAGCAAGAAATCACCCCTGGGGGGATGGCCATGCTGCAGTCCCTTCTCCTCCATTCTCCTCTCGGGATCTTGGGCATGCACGCACACACGCCCAGCGTGAGTTTAAGCCACCAGGTCCGGGACTTAAACCGTGGTCAATTACATGGGAGTCCAGTGACATAGCCATTACGCTAACTGCTGGTCCCACCAAACAAAATTTATATCTAACTCTTCAGTTAGTTACAATTAGTCTTTGGTTAGTCTCAGTGCCTTAAGAGGTAACTCAGTTTTTCAGCCGACATGGGTGAATGGAACCTTTTTGAAATGTAGGGACTGAACTTGGAAGTCATAAATTTCTCCATGTGTCTGTGCTCCACCCTGGAGGGATTTGGAGCTTGTAACCAAAATAAATAGTTCAGTTATATTGTTAATATTTCATCTTTAGGGGTCTGGCAAGTGGCATGATGGTTAAGGGCGCTGGACTCCCATGTGGCCAACCATGGTTCAAGTCCTGGACCTGGTGGCTTGCTTTCTCACTTTTCTTCTCTCTCTCTCTCTTTCTTTGTCTCTCTCTGTCCCTCTCTGGTCAAATTAAAATAAAATAAGTAAAGTTAATAAAATAATTTTAAAAAATCATCTCTATTGTCTTTTCCCTCCTCTTAAACCGTCCAAAGACAGATCTCATTCTCAAAGAAGTAAAGGGATTACCTTTGACACAATTCTGTTGGAGCCTTTTTGAAGAAATCATCTTAGACACCCCAGGTTCTAAAACACCCACTTCTTTCTATTCTAGGCTTACTCAAATGCCACGAACTATTGCCCAAGAGAATCAGGGTAGAGAGAGCTACTTGTCCTTTGCGTTATGCTTTTCTCCCCTTCCTTTGCCGTCATCTTCTGCGTGCTGTGGAGGAAGGCACAGGTGTGTGGGGTTGTAGCCTCGACTATAACACTAGCAGAGCTGTGGCACTTGGGCAAGCTGAGGCAGTTCTTTCAGTCTCCTCACTTCTGTGTGAAGAGATTGTTCATGATGACTTCTAAGAACCTACTGACACCTGAATTCAGTCTCTCCTTTCTTTTTCTAGCATATCTCCCTTCCTTTTCCCTTTCTTCCTCTTCCTGCGTCTCTTTATTATTAACTAAACATACACTTTTCACAATCTTCCCCCTTTTCCTGCCTTCACTTTTCACCAACTCCGTGCCTTGGCCAAATTTGGATTCCAGAGATCCCCTCATCTTCAGTTTCTGCTGCATCATAGAAATATTGTCTATCAATAGAAATATCTGCCCAAAAGAGGAATGTTCTGGAAATCTGGTATGGGTATAGTGAAGCAACAACCCCAAGCTGTGACTAGACTGAAGAGAGTGCGTGGATAAATGCCTCTGGGTGCACACAGAATCCATGTGGATTAGCACATGCATGGAAGGAAGTGACGTTTGGTTTGTTTGGTGAATTTCACTAAGAAAGGGTTCTGGAAGAGTAAGACATTGTTTACGTCTTATGACAGGCGCTGTGACTAAATGAGGTCAGGAGCTGATGTCGGATCTGCTGCAGCCCGTCCTCTCTCAGCTTCTCCATCTCTGGTCAGCCTCCATAACTGCTGTAGGGCTCGCCCTTTGGATCATGGTAAAAGTAGGTGACCTATCCGGCTGCCTTTATTTCGACTCTAGGCACTTGGGAAGCACTGTGACCTCTTTGGGAACCTCTGTAAGAGACAGCAGGAAAAAAATCATTTTGTGTACTTAGGTTAGTTTTCCTGTTCTCAAGACTCGCCTTCTTTCTATCAAGATCAGAGAGTAGAGAGAGCATAGACTTTGTTGGTGGATACACCTGGGTTCAAATCCCAGCTCTGCTACTTACTGTCTTCTTGGGCACATTATTCACCTCTGCAGACCCTGTTTTCTCCACGTACACTCAGGATGCATGACAGCCTGGTGCCCAGCGGGCATTCAGGAAAGCAGCTCACCATGGCTCCCTCCGCCGTCTTCACTCCATAGGCGCCAGCATGCGCTTGTGACTGTGTTTGAGATTTAAGGAAACTTGGATTTTTCCAACAAGTTTAGCCTAAAGGTGGACAAACTCTTTTTTACTTTAGTTCACTAACATGAGGTTGGCATTTTTCAGAAGGCCGTACTAAGCAAATAAAAGGAAAATCCCAAACGGGCAAGTCATGGAATGTACACAGCTGATAATTCTCATTGTAGATACCTAAGCACGGCCTCAGGTGAGCGTGGCCGGTATAGCATCCTGGTCTCACAGGCCTCAGTTTAGTCTTTGGAGCCTTATCTCCTTTATTTTGCCAGAAGGATAGCCATGAGCTCGTGGTTAGGTCTGGTTCCATCTTTATTAAATTTAGCTCTTCACCCTACTGCCCTAGTCTGATGTGTCTAGTATAGTAGTTCTTAGCCCCAGCTGCATGTTAGAACCACCTGGGGTCTCTTTTTAAAAGTGTAGGTTTCAAGGACCTGTCTCTGGAAGTTCTGCTTCACCAGGTCTGGTAGGAAACTAAGAACCTGGTAGGTGCCACGCGTCGTTCTGTGATGACTCATGGTTTCCATCGTTGCTGTCATTTCCTATGAACCTCTTTAGCAGATTATTCTACTTATATTCTTGTGTTTCAAGTAGAATATACCTACATACCTACCTGTCTTCCTCCCTCCCTCCCTCCCTCTTTCTTTCTTTCTTCTGTCTTTTCTTTCCTTTTTTGGGAAGAAGTTGCAATAGAGGTGTCAGAGAAAGACGAGAAAGCACCCCCATGGGGAATGTTCACACCACAATCCTTTCTCCTCCATCACTCCCTCCTTTCGGGATTTTATACATGCACACAGATGCCCAGTGTGCTTTTTCAGCTGCCAGGTCTGGGGCTCAAAAGGCACAGGTGGCCGTGTGGGATCTAGCTGCCTCAACCACCAGGCCACGCAGCCACCCCAAAGCTCCCAGCTTTCTTCTCCTTTCTTCTTTTTCCTTCTTCCTTATTCTCCTTATTTGTTATAGAGCGTGTGTGCTCACCAGAGAGAGGGAAAGTGAGAAATCACCCTCCAGGGGGTTGGGAGATGGCTATGCTGCAGTCCTTTTTCCTTCATGCACCTCTTGAGATATTGGGCATGTTTTTTAATTTAAAAAAAAAAGCCAGAAGATGAATGCACTCACTAGAAACAGAAGGAGAAAGCATCTCCCAATGGGACATGGTCATGTCGCAATCCCTTCTCCTCCATTTCTCCATCCTATTGGGATTTTGGACACACACATACAAGCACTGAGCATGTTTTTCAAGCCACTGGGTCTGGGACTTAAACTGTACAGTTGGCCATGAGAGATGGAGCTCTCTTAACCACCAGGCCATGGGGCTACCCTTTTAGCTTTTTATTTAAAAAAAAAAAAATACAGACTTGTAGGAAAATCACCGAGTAGTACAATGAACAGTCATATGACATCACTTAGATTCATCAACTGTCAGCATTTTGTCAGATTTGTATCCTCTCTCCCGTCCCCTCCCCCATGTTCTCTGTCCGTTTGCAGAGCGATGACAATTGATACTCCTTGAGCCCACTGAATGAGCAAGCCTCCTTCCTTGCTTAACTCAACCCACTCTTCCTCATACTCACCATCACAGCCGGTGCAGGGGCAGCTTTACACTGACTGATGCGGCCATGAACAGAAATGTACTTTCTGCATGCACATAGAAAGACATCCCCTAAGTGCTGCTTTTCAGCCACTGAAGTAACTGCCCTCTTCCCTCTGGTGACTCCTCCTTGAGGTCTCAAGGTTGTATGTCGTGTGTTCTAACCATTCTGAGGTCTCTGCAGCCTTTGTTCCATGTAAGTTTTTATTTTTTCTTTAGAGAGACTTTTGCTATTGGGTGTGTGCACTCGCCAGAGAGACAGAGAGACAGAAAGTGAGAAATCACCTCTCAGAGGGGATGGCCATGCCCCTCCATCCTCTCCTCCATTCTCCTCTTGGGATCTTGGGCACACATGCACACGCGCCTGGCGTGAGTTTTAAGCCACTGGGGTCAAGGACTCGAACCACAGTCGACTCCACAAGAATCCAGCCTGTAACCATTATGCCATCTGCTGGTCCCCCCATGTGAGTTTTTAACTGGCCATATCCTCTGGTTCTGTGAGACCTAGTAGGGGCTTCTCTAGCTACTTTGTAGGCTTGCCTCCTGCCCACACCAAGCTCTAGTCCCTGGACGACATGACAGCCCAGGAGCCAGTAGGAGCACATTCTTCTACCATATGAAGACAGTAACCTTAGCCAACAGCCTTTCCTACAGTGCCCTTCCAGCTACCGTGTGGCAGCTCTGCTGTTTTGCTTCAGATACCAGCTTGGTCTGAACTGGCGCTCAACTCCTGACTTCTGACAGGTTGGTTCTGCTGCAGTGACTGGCCAGACAAATCCTGCCCTATCACCCCACTCCATTTCTTTGCTGCCCGTTCCCAGGGTGTAGGAATATTTCTTTGCAGTTAGGGATCTTGTGACATCATTTGGTGTGAAATCAGGCTCTTCTGAAGGGCTGTGGAAATGTTCTTGGCTAACAGCTGCAAAGTGAGGCACAGACCACCGCTGAGGCCTTGGGGCATTCACGTGCGTTCTGTAGGGGCTTTGCAGAGGGCCAGACTTGTCTGCAGGGAACCCAGGGTTCATCTTTTTCTTTTGTGCAAAAAAACTAGCAGTGTGTTGTTAGAAGTATCCTCAGAAAACCAGAAAAGTGTTTCCCAAGTGGTATGTTTATCCTTCCAGCTTCCATGTCTCTGAAGTTGGCTCATTGCAGTCACCTGACAGCTCCAGTGGGCCAGCCACGTGGGAGGGGAATGGAGGGGGAAGATCCTTGGGTTTTCTCACTTCCAGTTTGAGAGAGAAGAGGGAACAGCAATCATTGGTCGAGGAAGCCTGCTTTGGATCAGTTCCAGAAGAGTTTGGAGACAGTAGTTTATGATGTTAAGAGCTCAAACTCTGGAATAAAATGGGGCTGATTTCTGACCTTGAGTCTACCACTTTCTAGCTGTAAAATGGGAGTAAAATTACTAGCTCTGTGAACAGAAGTTCTGTAACTGCTATGTGCCCTCAGTTTCCTTGATTGAAAATGGAAATAATACGGGACCGGCAGTTAGTGTAATGGCTATGTCACTGAACTCCCATGTAGTCAACCGTGGTTCGAGTCCCAGACCCAGTGGCTTAAACTCACACCAGACATGTGTGTATGTGTGTCCAAGATCCCAAGAGGAGAATGGAAGAGAAGGGATTGCGGGGTGGCCATCCCCCCGGGGGGTGATTTCTCGCTTTCTGGCTGTCTGTCTTTCTGGCGAGCGCACGCGCCCTATAGCAAAAACCTTGCAAAAAAAAAAAAAAAAAGGAAATGGAAATAATAGCTTATGAAGCTGTTAAATTTTAAAACAGCAAATATATATAAAGCACTTACTGTGTGCCCAGTACATAGTGAGCATTCAATAAGTTATTACTTGATTATTTGAGTTGTTAGCATTAGATGAAGCAAGCTACTTGAAGTATTTGTCACAAAATCTGTATAATCTGTGTGTTTGTGTCGGGGGTGGCTATGCCATCTTGAAAACAAACAAGAAAAACCCCTACACAACTCGGAGACAATAGCTTCTAGTATAACATAAATAAACCTTTTTTTCCCCGTGATAGCGCATATGCACACAGTTGAGAGAGAGAGGGAAAGAAAGAAAGAAGCACTTTGACAGGGCCTCATGCCATGATCCCTGTTCCCCAGTCCTCCAGTTTGTTAGGGTTCTTGGTCACCCGCGTATGTGCCCAGCATGTTTTCAGCCTGACCTGGGGATTCAAACCTGTGGTTAGCTGTGTGGCTCCATAGGCTGTGAACTCCACCATCCAGGTCGGGCTGGTGGAGTACTTTGCAGAGAAAGGGCAGGACCTGACAGAGACTTCCCTTGTGACTTGTCCCCCTCCCCACCCATCCACCAGGGGTGGGACTTCCTGCAGAATGGCAGAGGCAGTTGAAGAGGCCTGCCCTCTGCTTACTGAGGTGGACCCTAGTTGGTGCTGATGCCCATTCCTCCTCTCTGTAGGTTTCACAAGCTGATCTGGGGGAGCTTTGGCAATGGGCTTCTGGAAGGCTCCGGGGTTATTGCAGGCGGCGGGGACAATGGCATGCTTACGCTATACAATGTGACCCACATCCTGTCTTCGGGAAAGGAACCTGTGATTGCCCAGAGACAGAAGCACCTGGGGGCCGTCAGAGCCCTCGACTTTAACCCTTTCCAGGTACTACATTTCAGTTGGTCAGACGTGGCCAAGCCATGGAGCAGCCGGTCTGAATGGAGGCATTCACTGTGGCCTTCAGTCTGTAACTCAGAACCTTTCTAGGCTGTTCCATGGGAGGCTCTGGACAGCCCCGAATGTGGGCTGCTGACCCCCTTTCCTGCTCTCATCTCTTCCCAAGATGGTGTCTCTAAACACCTTTTATTCATACAGGGCAACCTCCTGGCCTCGGGGGCCAGTGATTCTGAAATCTTCATTTGGGATTTGAATAACCTGAGTGCGCCCATGACCCCAGGATCCAAGTCACAGGTGAGGAGCGCACCCGCTCCATTCCTTCCGGGGCTGCCGCTTAGAGTGTGCAGCTGATTTTCCCAGGTGAAGTCTGCAATTCTGGAGCCTGCAGAGCACAAGAGATTCCAGGCTTTACCACTGGAGGGCAGTAAAGCTCCGTGGACTAACATGCTACCAGTCAGCTAGGACTGGGGTGCATCCTGGGATGGGGTGGACGCCTGGTCGTAGCTGTTCTAGGAGTTTCTGGGAGGGAGGTAACAGGTCACTTAGGGGTGGGGAGCGTGCAGACCCTGAGAGAAGGAGCAGGAGTGCTGTGTATCTCCGTATAGCTTTGGCAGGCTGGGCAGAGTCCTGGGCTCAGTGGAGACGAAGCGAGAGTGGGACCCCAGACTTGTCCTTCTGGGGGCAGGGTCTGCTTTGCCTCTGCATGGGCCTGTCCCAGGCAGCCAGGGGTCTGTCTTCTGTCACTGAGTGTGCCTGTCAGTCTGTAACTGGGCCCACTTTTTGTCTCCTGGCTTTTCTCTGTCATGCTTACAGTATCGTGAGGTAAGTTGGTGTGAGTTCGATAGCACCATGTGCCCTGCACGTAGCAGTGGGTTTCTTTCTGCCTCACTCTCTGGGGATCTCGAGTGCCTATTCTTCCCTTCCTCTTCCTTTTCCCTTCCTCCCTCACCTTCCTCTTTTTCTCCCTCTCTGTCCTAGACAAGAGGACTGTTTGTAGATGTTGACTCTGTTCTCTCAGAACTTTGGGATGGGGTAAAACCAAGCGTGCCTGCCAACCCCTCCACTCTATACCGGTGCTGTTAGGGTTCCCTGGAAAATCCAGCTCCTAACGCCCCAAGAGCATCTTGGCTTGGGTAGCCCCATGTCTACTCAGGCTTGCTGTGGGTGGTGCAGAGCAGTGGAGCAGCAGCTGTCACTTGTCTAGGGGGTGATGAGTTGTCCTTCCCCTGCCCCACCCTGCCTCAGCAGCCCCCAGAAGATATCAAGGCACTCTCTTGGAACCGGCAAGTCCAACACATCCTGTCTTCTGCCCACCCCAGCGGCAAGGCTGTCGTGTGGGATCTCCGGAAGAAGGAGCCCATCATCAAAGTCAGTGATCACAGCAACAGGGTGAGCCGGGAGGCCAGGCCGGGCTTGCCTCTGGCTGCCTCAGCGTGTTCTCACAGTGGGAGCGGCCCCGCCCCGGCCAGGGTTCTGCTTTCAGCTGTTGGATGTGTGGCTTCTGTCCTTGGAGGGCCCAGCTGAGCGTGAAAGCTCGGGGAAGCTAAACAGAGCTGACCCGGAAGCTTCTACTGTTCCTTCCTCATTCATAGTCCTCACTCCCTGATGGCTGGGGTGTTCTCAGTCATGTGAAGGACACACAAAACCTGCCCTGAGAGTTGACCCAATCCACCTGGCAGGAAAGGCTACGGCTAGTGTCAGAGTACGTCACCCATTGGGATCTGCTGTGTTCACAGATGCACTGCTCAGGCCTGGCCTGGCACCCAGACGTGGCCACCCAGTTAGTGCTGTGCTCGGAAGATGACCGTCTCCCAGTGATTCAGCTGTGGGACTTGCGCTTTGCCTCCTCACCTTTGAAGGTGCTAGAGAGCCACAGCAGGTAGCCTCCCATACACACCCACACCCTTGGGGGATGGTGGGCTAACTGACCTGGGCAGGTGGCAGCCAGCTTCACTTTACTACCAAACACCCCCATGACTTCAGAGCTGGTCCAGTGAGTGCACAGTCACCCAGTACAAGCCCCATCCCTCACAAGAACTCCTTCTGACCCTGTGGTTGTAGACAAGAGTCTGAGATTCCATCTAACTCCCAGAGACTGGCTTGAGGTTGAGAAATACCGTGAAACATTTTAACCAGCATTCAGAGTCCCCAGGCTTTGATCCAAAGATAATATTCATTTGTTTAGGGGATAAGGTTGCCTCCTCCAAGACTTAACATAAGCAACTTAACCCATCCTGTCCTGTGAGCAGGCCAAATCCTGAAGCTGTAGCTCTTGGGCCCACAACCGTGAAGTGGCTCCACGATTGTTCTTTCTAACCAAAGGACCTTGTTGCCTTTCTACCTCCTGGGGACTTTGGAGAGCTAGGTCTTCACGACCCCTGGGCTAAAGGCATACCCATGGAGCTGGTGTTTGCACGACTCTTTAATCAGGGGAAAGCAGACCTGTGGGAGGCGGGGTGGTGCAGTGCACAGGCTCTGGGGTTTGACCTGAGTTCTGGCTGTGCAACCATCTGAATGGTGCTTAATTTTTCAGGCCTCATTTTCCATCTTTGTGGGGGAAAAAAAATCAGACCCCCATTTTATAGGGTTAGGGCTTGACTGAGTTGTCTGAGGTCCCCTACTCATCGTAGGCACCCCACAGATGTTAGTTCCTCTCTTCTTTCCTCTTTAGGGGGATCTTGTCAGTGTCGTGGAGCCAGGCTGATGCTGACCTGCTGCTCAGTAGTGCCAAGGACAACCAGATCCTGTGCTGGAACCTGGGGAGTGGCGAGGTAGGCCGGCCTTCTGGGCATGCTGGGCAGGGAGCTGAGATGCTGGAGGAATCCCGGCTGTGTAGGTTTGGGTCTCCTCACCTGAGTCAGGGTTTGTGGACTGCGTGGTCCCTATGGTTGTGTCCCCTCTCTTAGGTGGTATACAAGCTTCCTCCACAGAGCAGCTGGTGCTTTGACGTGCAGTGGTGTCCTCGGGACCCTCCTGTCTTCTCTGCTGCCTCCTTTGACGGCTGGATCAGTTTGTACTCTGTGATGGGTAGGAGCTGGGAAGTCCAGCACCTGAGACAAGCTGACAAGGTTTGGAAGGCTTGGTGGCAAATGCTGGAAGGAAGGGGCTGTCTCTGTTTGGAGGGAGGGGGAGGAGACTGCATGGCCTGGGAAGAAGTAAGGGCTATTAGAGACTGGGGGACTGGGCCCTGGGTTTGGGAGGGATGTACCTTTGCTCCAGTGCCTCTTCCTGGGAGAATGTCCGTTTCTGCCCCAGGACACAGGAGGCTTTCACCTGAGTCTTGTTAGTGAGTGTGGCCCCTGTGGTATTTCAGGGACATTGGACCATCTTTCCGGGGTACAGACTGTCTTAGTCTTTCTCTGTTTTGGACCATACTCCGTTGTGGACTTTAGGCTTTCAAAGCACCTGCTGCATGGGTCTCAGCCTCACTACGATCCCATCTTAGGCCCTGGAGGATGGGAGCCAGGCCTTTGTAGGTCAAATTGAGTGTCTCAAGGATTCTTCCCAAAATGGAGCCTGTGGGTGAATTCTTGGCTAAGCTGAGTCTTCAGGCTATTGAGGCTGGTGTCCTTTTCCCCCCAGATTTCCTCTTCCTTCAGCAGAGGCCAGCCTCTGCCACCATTGCAGGTGCCAGAGCAAGTGGCCCAGGCCTCACTGGTGCCTCCCCTGAAAAAGCCTCCCAAATGGATGAGACGGCCCACAGGTGTTTCATTTGCTGTAAGTGGAGTGGGCATGTGAGTGTGGTGGTGTGTACTGTGCTTGTGTGCACGTGGCCGGCCTGGTGCTGAGTTTGGTAGATTATTCCCACTGCCTCTGTCTCAGATCAGGCTCCACTTTCCCCCAAGCAGAGGGTTATTTCCTTCTCCACCCCTTCACCTGTGTGGTGCCGTGCTTGTAGTGCTGGGCCTGGCTGAAAGGATCGATGGCCTCAGGCCTCTCCCTCATGGAGAACAGCAGGAGGTTCTTCCTGAGTTTCTGCTAACCCTGATATGTCCAAAGGAGGAGAGGAAAAAAATGTGAATTTCATCCTGTCATTCCTATGCTCAAAACCTTTGACCCCTCCCATTGCCTTATGGGCTTAAGACTAAATGCACCTTTTTTACCTCCACCTCGTTTTCATGTGTCCCCTGTGCTCTGGGTACATAATGACTTTTCCGTTCCACGAACAGCTCCTCGGGTCTTCTACATCTACTTGTACCCTTCCTTCCCTTCAGCTTCTCTCCTAGTCTCGATTCCTCCTGTAGCTTTTCAAGGCCCCCACTTAAATGCCATCTCCTCCACGGTGCCTGTCTTTAACCCTACTCAAAATTGACCTCCCGTCTGTAATCACAGGTTTATATTCCCATAGTGATACACAAAAACTGCACGAAAGTTATTTACATACATGTCTAGAGACCCTGCTAAGTAACAGACTCCTTAAAATAGGGACCATGCCCTGTTCATTTTTATATGTACAAGGCAAGGCTCCCCAAACTTTAACATGTATACAGACCACCTGGGGATCTTATGAAAATCTAGACTCCGGATCATTGAATCTGGGGCAGGGTCCACGATTCTGATTTTCCAACAGTTTTCCAGGTGATGCCGTATTTGTTGGTCTGAGGACCAGAACTTTGAGCAGTAAGGCCCCCAAATGTCCAGTACAATGCTTTAAATATTGTGGATCAACAAAAGATGCATAAAAGCAAAGGTTCTTGTTTTCAGAGCCAGTCCTTTTATTAGAGAGGTAAGACTAACACACTCAAGAGACTACGTTTAAAAAAAAAGAGGTAAGTTAGATGAGGAACTCTGAGGTGTACGTTTAGAAATAAAGAGGTAAGTTAGATGAGGAACTCTGAGGTCAAGAGGCCTGGATTCTTATCTTAACTCTGTCCTTTATTGTATATTTGAGCAAGACACCTAACCTCTCAGGACACCCTTGCTCTTTTTGTTGTTGTTGATTTTTCTTTTTTTTTTTTTTTTTGAGAGATTTTCGCTATAGGGCGCGTGCGCTCGCCAGACAGACAGAGAGAGACATAGAGACTGAAAGCGAGAAATCACCCCCCAGGGGGGATGGTCACGCCGCAATCCCTTCTCCTCCATTCTCCTCTCGGGATCTTGGGCACGCACGCACACGCGCCCGGCGTGAGTTCTAAGCCACCGGGTCCGGGACACGAACCGCGGTCGACTACGTGGGAGTCCAGCGACATAGCCATTACGCTAACTGCTGGTTCCCGTTGTTGATTTTTCTTTGACTTGGGGTATACACTTGCAAGAGAGAGAGAGATAGTGAGGAGAGTGAGAGATCATCCCCCCCCCAGGGGGGTGGCCATGCCACAATCCCTTTTCCTCCTTTCTCCTCCCAGGATCTCGGGCATACATGCACATGGGCCCTGCATGAGTTTCAAGCCACCAGGTCCAAGATTTGAACTGCTGTCGGCCATGTGGGAGTCCAGCAACATAACCGTTATGATATCTTCTGGTCCATTGTTCTTATTGTTAGAAAGGGATAAGTAATACCTGCCCAACTTAAGGCAGTAAATTGTTAATGAGCCTGAAATGAGATTATGTATAAGCATATTCTTTGCAAAGCTATCTATTATACCAGATTTCGTACTGTAGGAATCAAAAAAGATAAGAACTCTAACTGGGACAGTTCATTAAAGAGGATGGTCTCAGGAAAGGAAATAGTGAATATGGAGTAAAGCGGTTGGCCACATGCTGGAATGACCCAGAGAATGGTCCCACCCCCAGAGTTTGTGTTGTCTAGGGTGTGGCCTGGGGATACAGGGGCAGTTCTCCAGGTGGGTTTCTTAGAGAGATTTTTTTGGTATAGGGCATATGTGCCCACAAGAGAGACAGAGAGTCAGAAAGCAGGAAGTCACGCCGCCCCCCCCCCAGCCCCCCAGGGCGGATGGCCTCTCTGCAATCCTTTCTCCTCCATTCTCCTCTTGGGATTTGGGGCACACATGCACACGCATCCAGTGTGAATTTTAAGCCACTAGGTCTGGGACTTGAACTGTGTTCTCTTACGTGGCAGTCCAGCAATGTAACCATCGTGCCACCTGTGGGCCCCATCTCCAGGTGGTGTTACTGTGCAGCCACGGCTGAGGACTGCTGGAGTACTTACACTTCCCTAGGCTCCCAGTTTGTGCCAGGTGCTTCACATAAAGTTTCACTTGGCAAAAAGATCACTCCGGGTGGGAGAGGTGTGGGCAAAGGCAGAGAAGCAGAAATGAGTCCAGCGTGTGGGGATGTGGGGTGATAACGTGAATGGGCAGACGCTGGAAAGACAGGTTTGTGCACCACAGGCAGGGAGCTTACGCGCTCTCCAGTGACCCTGAAGCCATTCAGGCTCCGGAGTAGCCACAGCAGCAACGTGGTACAAGCAGTAGGGTGTTAGTCCAAGGCTCGGACTGGAGGAGGGAAAAAAATGGAAGGCTCGCAAACTATTGTAGTAATTTGGGGAGTAAGCACTCGGGGTGGGATCGAGGGGATGTGCATGAATGATATTGAACAAGAAGATATAGGACTACGTTGTTCGGCCATAGCGATGGAGAGACCATGGTGACACTGAGTGTTTAGTCCAGGTGACTGGGGGAACAGTGGGACCAGGACAGGCGAGAGGACAAGTACCGTGTGGTGCAGTTCTAAGCTGACGGCGCTAAGAACGCAGCGGTCTGGGGATGGAGTTAGTGCCTCCTCTTACTCCACTGCTGGGAGCGCTCTCTTTACTGACTTCCTGCCCCAGAACTGACCAACAGATAGCCTTCTCTGTGATCCTGACTTGATGTTATTTTCAGCTTGAAGGTGTGACCTGTACCCTTCTTGTTTTTCCTCACCAGTTTGGGGGAAAACTGGTTACTTTTGGCCTTCCCAGTACCCCTGACTTTCAAGTGTCACAACCTTGCCCCCGCCTGGTCTTTATCAGTCAAGTGACCACAGAATCTGAGTTCCTGATGCGGTCAGCAGAGCTGCAGGAGGCCCTGGGATCAGGAAATCTCCTGAATTATTGTCAGAACAAGAGCAAGCGCACCTCACTGTCAAGTGAGAAGATGCTCTGGCAGTTTCTGAAGGTAAGACATCTGAAGGCTGTTTCCTAGAGCCTGGGACTCAGACTGCTGTCAGTTCCAGGAAGTGCACACCACACTGACCTAGACTAGCCCTGACTCTCCCTTCCCTGTACCTCCCCTCTGCATGCGGCTTCTTCACCCTCCTCCAAGGGCTCGGAAGCCATTTGTGCAGTGGCTAGGGAAGACGTGGGTGGAGACATTTTCCTTTGTTGCTGCTATTGCTGGTGTCCTGATACTTAGAGCCAAGGTGAAGGTTTCACAAGGTTATGCCAAAAGGCAGGAAGAAGGAAGGAAGGGAAGACAAGAAGGGACAGGAAGAAGATTGGTAAGAAGGTACATTATCCTAAGAAAGCTTTGAATTTGTTTCATATAACCCAACGCAAGACCTTGTGGTGGGCCCCAGGGTTTTGGTGCCACTTTATTCCAGAGGCATGGGTTCAGTTCTAGTTTTAATTTAATTTCTTCATTATTTATTTATTTTAGTTTGCCAGAGGACATGTAGCTCACTGGAGAGAGTTAGAGAGAGTGAGGGAAAGTTAGAAAGAACCCCCCCATGGAGGATGGCCATGCATATCTCTTCTCCCCCCCCATGGAAGATGGCCATGCACAGTCTCTTCTCCTCCCCCCCGTGGAAGATGGCCATGTACGGTCTCTTCTCCCCCCCCATGGAAGATGGCCATGCACAGTCTCTTCTCCTCCCCCCCGTGGAAGATGGCCATGTACGGTCTCTTCTCCCCCCCCATGGAAGATGGCCATGCACAGTCTCTTCTCCTCCCCCCCGTGGAAGATGGCCATGTACGGTCTCTTCTCCCCCCCCATGGAAGATGGCCATGCACAGTCTCTTCTCCTCCCCCCCGTGGAAGATGGCCATGTACGGTCTCTTCTCCCCCCCCATGGAAGATGGCCATGCACAGTCTCTTCTCCTCCCCCCCATGGAAGATGGCCATGCCAGTCTCTTCTCTTCCCCCCCATGGAAGCTGGCCATGCACAGTCTCTTCTCCCCCCCCCCATGGAAGCTGGCCATGCACACTCTCTTCTGCCCCCCCCGCCCCCCCATGGGAGATGGCCATGCCACAGTCTCTTCTCCTTTTGGGATTTTGGGTATGTTCACATGCATCCCCACAGCATGTTTTTCAAGCCACTGGATCTGGGACTTGAACCACGCAGTTTGCCGTGTGAGATCCAGCTGCCTTAACCACCATAGTACCAGCTGGCCCTCAAATTTTAAGTTCAAGTTCCTTCTGATTCGAGGGGAAGTGCTGTGCCTGTCAAAGGAAGTGAGTGAACGCAAAATCTGAAGGAAGAAAGGGAAGTCGCTGACTGTTTGGGCAGTGGGAGGATTCTGCAGCTCTTTGGGGTCATAGAGAAGAATGCAAAAGAAGGACAGAGCATGTCCCAGGGGTCTGAGAGGAACTCAGGTCTGTGCCAGAGACACAGGAGAGCTTTATGGAGGTAGTCTTCAGGAAGCTGGGAAAGAACAAAGGATCCGGGAAAGATCCTTGGCTAAGGAGTAAAACTGGAAAAAGATGTGGGAAGAAATGCATAAGAAATGATGCTTTAGTCTTAAGAAGGATACAAGCTTCAAAAATGGCGGGGCGGGAAAGAAAATGGAGGGAATAGTCGAGAGTGTAGCCTTTGCTCTATAGAGGAGGCAACGATGCTGGTAGGAGTCTGGTTTAAAAGCGACTCGAGAGCTACGCATCATGTTGGTTTCAGCAGCTGAGTGTGGGTGAACATTTCCAAGAGAACAGGGAAGGGTCTGGGGAGACCATGGGAGAGGCACAGCTGTCACGCACAAGGTGAAGGCTTATGCCCAGTATGCAGTACACGAAGGGCCCTAGCCAGCTAATGCATATCAGGGGCCTTCACAAAGGCTAATCCTCAGTGTCCAGGACCCTGAGTGGGAGGCTGACCTTACTCTACCCATGCAACTTCTGTGAGGGGGCTTCTCAACTAGACGTTTAGATTCACGAGACCTGTGAGCTGCACTTAGCCTCAGTCTTCTTCAAAGGATGTGGGGCAAGAACCACAGCTTGTCAGCAGGGCAGCCTCGGTGGTCCTGTTCTATGGGAGTCCTTTCAGCGGAGCAGGCAGTCGTTCAAAGGTCCTCTTCTCCAGCTCTGGTGCGAGGAGATGAGATGTACCTTGGGCAAGTGACCCTGACTTAAGAAGTCTCTTGCCCACAAGAGCCAACATCTCCTGTGGTAGTTCCAAAAGCATCCATAGCTTCCAGAATCCCTACAAGAGATCTGTCCAGTACACATGTCAAACGCAGTCAGGGAGACCCAGAGCATGATGTGCATGTCAGTTACAGTTCACACAGTTCCAGGCCAGATGCAATTCACCAAACACAAGCGACGTTTCCTACACACACCTGACATTTTACTTTCATCGGGTTACCTAGGTAATAGAGCTAGGAAGTCAACTGAAGGTCAGATTCTCGTGCAGAAAGGGCCAAGGGTTATGCCAACACTGCCCACAGCCTTGCCATAAATCAGGTCTGGGGAAAACGGAGAGATGGCGTTGCCCTGCTGAGGGTGCTCTCAGTAGTACAGATAGCTGTATCTGAGGGCACCCCGACACAGATCTCCAGCTTGGTGCAGAAGAAACCCTGTTTATGTCCCTTTAACAGACTTTTCTGTGTTCTGTGCTTCTTTAGGTGACCTTTGAGCAAGATACCAGAACGAAATTCCTAAAGCTGTTAGGATACAGTAAAGAGGAGCTTCAGAAGAAGGTGAGCTGCTTTTCATGTCAGAAACATACAGTCATTGCCAATGACAAGAGAACCCTGCCAGAGAGAGCCTTGTCGGGATACCTCTTCCTGGGCTAGATTGTGAGCATTTTACTTCCTGCAGTTTGGCTTGTCCTAAGGAAAGTAGGTCAAGAATCTGAGCGTCTGTTTGGTAGGGAACAGAGAGGGGAAGAGGGAATGAGACTTGGTTGTCCTCATG